GACCAGTCATATTTACAAATGTTTCGGGAAAATAGTAAGACTTGAGCATGGTGAAAAACCTCCTGATTATACGGATTCTATATGGTAATAGGATGGCTCCATAATGGTATGAAACTCATGTAGTTGGCATCCAGGGAGACTAATGATATACCTACAAACTTTTATAACAAGTGAGCAATACTACACATTCTTATGAGCTATACACATTCATACCCAGCATTCAATACAATGAGTTCAGCCTTTTCTAACAGAACTATGTGCAAAGAGATAGGTGTAGAGATACAAAATTATTATATCAGAAATATATATCTACAGTCTTGTAGAGGGCACTAAATTATTAGATCTTTAAGTTATCTATCACAACTGGAATGCTATGCTATGCAATGCATTATGAACACAAAAATTCTACATCTCAGAATAACAAAATAATGGACTGCTCTGCAAGATGTATGATGTTCATAGTATATAAAATACTTCTGTGCATTCACAGAGTCAATGTTAGTGTAGTTTTGTGCTCCCATGAAGGACCATAGCATTTGATATCTATACCAGTTTCTTGGCACTTCAGTGCACTATATTATATTATTGAAATGTCCATTTTAAAATTAAACAGTGAATCAGTCAAAAATAATGAGGCATTCTGATAAATTCTGCATGCAGTTGGACAGCAAAAAATATTTCCCAAATGGATAAACACTTTTTATAAACCAACTCTGAATTCTTCTGTCTTTTGAAAACTTAGTTTTTATTGGCATATGATATGCACTAGTGGAGTGACAACAATGATATATGTCAGCCTAATTCGAAAAATATAGTAGTCAACATTATGGGATTAATTTCAAAATTAAATACTAATTGTAATAACTTAATGATCCTATTACACCTCAAAATGTTGAAACTGCTTATGTTGTTTTCTAGAATTTTAATTCACTTTCATTACTTTCCAGTTTCAATTCACTTGCATCTATGGTATTACTCTTCTCTATTTGATAAACACTGTTGGCTGATATTAAAACATTTTCATTTCTTGTTAAATTTATATACTTTGTTTATGATCTTACCATACTATCGCATTTCTGAAAGTCTGAAATCTGTGAATTCTTTTTTAATTGCATTAAAATTCAATTGCAACATTCTAGATCAGCTAGTGTTGCTGCCTATGAGACAGCAAGCAGAAAGAATTTAAAGATGCTGAGATATTAATAGGTATAAGAATCTTATATTACAAACATCAAGAATTCAGTTTTAAGAAAAGGAAAATGAAAAGAATTTAATTTTTTAAAATTTACTTAATATGCAGATGTCATTTTGTAACATGTAAAAAATGATGACTTGATTAAAATGATACGATATATTTCAGCGACTTATAAATTTATATTGCAATCTGCAAAATAAATAAGCAATTTAAGTGCACTTGGCTTAAAATGTTAACAACATTCAATTGAATAGTAAAGCCATGCATGTTAGTCAAAATTAACATAAACCACAAATGATATGAATGAACATACAAAAGGTATTGGAAAATATATAATTGCATTAGTAATCAATACAGAAGCATTAACTGAATAAAAACGGAGCCTTCTGCTAAAGCATTTATTTCCTAACCATTTCATAGTCACCCATCCCAAACCTAAAAATAAAGCCATTATCATTAAAAATAAAATGAATCCATCTCTCAAAGGAGAAGAATTTACATTCAATTAAATGGTATATCTATTATTTAGATACATATAATGATGCAATCAGTTTGCATATGCAGCCAAAAGTTATGGTATGTTAAAAAAAAAGAAAAAAAAAATATTTTAAGTATACTGAGAAGCTTTAAAACAATTAATTAATCTTTAAATCTTTTAAAAGGACAACTAGAACATGCCTAATAATGAAAAATATATAATTTAATAATAATAGGCTTAATGCAAAAATATATAATTTAATAATAATAGGCTTAATGCATAATATATCACAGTTTGGATGTGATGGGCATCACAGATGGCAGAGGAAATGAAATGTGGAATTACCCTTCAATCTTTGTGCAGCCCCTGCCAAAAAATTTGATAAACATTTTGGGAATTACCCACACAAGTGATATCCTTCAAATTCTTAATTAGTAACTGAAACTGCAGACTTTTATGAAATAATAAAAAATAATCCGTATCACTGGACACAATTCTGAGGGATAATGTAGAACCACATTTCTTATTAACCAAACATTTCAGATAAGATGATGCAGCCTTTTTCAAGTTTTTACACCATAGTTACATTTTTATATGTATTGGGCAGATAAAAATTCTGATAGGACTATCAAAACTGATCTGAACTCACTAAGCAATACATGTGGACTGAACTATTTAGTTACGGTGACTACAGTCCTTTCCTTTTTTACAACTGTGGATAATGGCAGCTAACTAGATTATAAAAACACCTGCACCTAGGTCAAGTTTTCCCAGACTGTATATTTAACAAGATGGAGGCCTCTCCTCATTGCTTTATAAATCTTCAAAATTGACAGTTTATAGAACTGTGCTGATTAACATTTCCGTAGTGTTAATCAGTGCAGCAACCTGTTGACTTTCTCTCAAAAAAATATAGGAAATTATTTCTGAGAATAAATCTTACCCAAGAGAAAAAAAATGAAAAAATTTTATTAGGCAAGCACATATGGGAGCTAATGAATGATGCTAACTGAAATGTTTGTGTCACAATATCACAGGTTTTAACCACATCAAAAGTATAAATGCTCATCAAGGTGTCACAGTACATTTGTATGTCACAGTTTTGGGGAAAGGTTTTAAGAACTTACCAATATATTTATAATATATTTATATATAGGGTATATATTTACAACAAAGAAACTAAATATGCTAACAGTACATACCTCTTTCTGGATCATCCTATGTATATGAAGAAATTTAACTGCACTTTTTCTCAATTATCAATTATTCACAATTGCTATGGATATCTAGGCATCTATGCAGCATTAATTCATACATAGTTTCAAGAGTAGAAATAAAAATATTTGATAAAAATTTTTGAGAACTTACACAATTTGCTGGCTATTTTTAAGTTTCCAATGTGCCCATTTTGTATACTATGTTATGCTTTGCAATAAATTAAAAAACCCAGTAAAAATTACTCTGATAAACAAAGAATAAGATTTACCATTGAAGATTAGTATTTGACTCGCAGGTTCCCAGTTGATTAAAAATTGAATTCAAAGTTTGGACTAGAAATCTCTGTGGATCTGAAAGAGACTATGTTGGCCAAATAATTTGTATTTTGTTTTATTATATGTTAATTAGTCTGGCTTCTTTTTGTTTATTATCAAAAATTCAATATGACATTCTTTTAATCATCATAAAGCAATGAGTAAAACTACAGAATAATTTTACTTTCCCTGGATGATGAACGGCATTTTAAAAAAATGGCAGTTTCTTCACATAAAGTTTTCTGTAACAAACTAGCAACTTCACTCAATACACTTTGAAACAAAACTCAATGCATAATGAAACAAACTGCAGCAACCACATGTCTCACAACTTATTTTTTATGCCTCATAACAATTCAAATCTACCTTATTCATTGATTAACTGCAACTAACAGCACTCCTGTAATAAACTAAGTGTTATAAAATACCTGTTTAAAGAAACTACTGTACTATATGTGAAACAAAGATTTCTTTTTCCTCTTTCAATACGAAAAAGTCGGATATAAATTATGTGAACACAATTAATTTGTCATCAGTAATAATCAGCAGAAAGCCATCTTCACAAATCTAAAACTGTTAATTAATGCATATATAACAATTTAGCATAATTATATAGTATTATACATGCTTCCCATAGTGTTTATTTGCTTTACTGATATTAGAATACAAATTTGATTACATTTGATAGATTTTCAAGCTAAAAGTACTTTTATACTTAAATCAGTTTCCAAATGTGTAAAAATAAGTCATTTATAAACACTCTACCTCTCCCCCCCTTAATAAGAGTAAGAAGTATAACAGACAATATCACAGGCATTCAAAATTTAGTTATCTCCCGGGATTCTGCTAAAATTTCTTACATGGCTGTATAATTTTTTATAAATTTTCTTGAAAATATGAATACATACAGATCTTATTCCCGATATTATTTATTTTATCAATTTAAAAGCTGAATAAATATATTTCAGGAAAGATATAATTTTTTTCTTTACATTATAAGGTATTTCTCCCGCCTTCTTAGCATGCCTTCGTGGTGTAATGGGCAGCACACTCGCGTATTTAAGAGGTCCGAGATTCGAGTTCCGGTGAGGGCATTGGTCATTTTTCATGTCTCCTGCTTCAAAATAACCTAATGTCTCTACAACATAACCCTAACAAATCACCTGAAATGCAATTTGAAGATATTAGAATACTTGACTTGTTTTCTGTTACTTATCTATTACAGACACCAGCAGACTATCATGCACCTACAAATAATTATGCAGTAAATATGGTATTCTTTATCTTTTTGATACTATATTCTTCTTCTTCAGAATACAGCTCTTTATATTACTGCTTCTTACATAAGAATTTTTTAAATATTTTAATCGCAAGAAAAAATTAATTTACAAGTTTTTACAGTATTCCATTGCAAAATAATATGCAAGCTTCAAAAGAATAAAAAATTCATTTATATCTTCATGTATTATATTTTACACTCATAGCTTATTTCTACTTCTCACTTACTATATTTATCGTACTCAAATCAAATAAGAAACAATGTGGAAAAATGTTACAAACCATAAAGCATTATTAAACTTTTAATTATAAATAAAAAATAAATATTATAAAAAGGCCATTTATACAATTGTTTTGTACATCAAATGCACATATCATAAGAAATCACATCCTTCTACTCTCATAATTATTCATCCAGATGTTTGTTCTATTCAATCCATTGCAGACCCTATAGATAGTTTCCACAAACATACTAGCTGACATTTATTATCAAACACATTCCAAGAAATAGAAGTACCTGGAAATGAAGAATGATTGTCCATATCAGACCTAATGTTAATTTGGGGTTTCCATCAACAATGTCTTCTGGGCGGATGTTCACCAATTTGATCTGAAAAAAGTTCATCGAAATTTAAGTGCCAATAACTAACTTAAAAAATTACAAAATAAAAACTGACAGTTATTTCACTGAATACAAACAGAGAGGAAAACATGAGTATCTGCATACTATATTATGCATTCTTTGATTAAATTCACTAATCACACTTAGCATTGTTTGAAACAGCGCAATTAGAAAAAAGACACAGATATGCTGGGACATTTGGATAAATCAGTAAATCAAGCGGTAAATCAGCTGTCTACAAATAAGGAAATCACTGAGACTGTTTGGTGAATATTACATTTATTTGATTCTCTATCCATTCAATGGAAATTCATTAATGTATGTAGAATACTAAAATGTGTTGGAACCAACAACATTCAAATGTGATTTTTTAAACCAAAACTATACGATATGAATGCCAAAATAGAATATATCCATCCGGTGATGAGATTACTATGAAAGACAATATGTTCTGAAAATAATCCCTTTATTTATAAGAGCTGCTTTGCATCAAATAAGAATAAAAAGACACAGTTAAAATTCTCAGAAAAATTTTTGAACTGATATATACCACTGTCCCTTCGTTTCTGCAGCTAATTAAAATATGACCAAAATTTTTGCAGTTGCATAAAAAGAAAACCAGAACAGATCAATTCATTGGCCTAATGGCACAATTTCAGTTTTTAAGATTAGGGAGCTCCATTCTAGTCATTTCTCTTAAATTGCAGCATTTTAAAACTACTGTATATAGTGACATAAGTATAATGGTTAATCTGAATACCTATAGTTTTTCAAGCAAAGACAGATATTATTTATATCTGGGTAACTGAAATCATAAACCTGTCTTTAAGTTCAGGTAAGCATTGATGTATTTTAATTGTAGTCCATAGTAAACTATTTAAGAAGATGATCTGTTCAACTGCTCAACTTAAATACAAGTAATATTCATATCTACTACCAATAAGGGAAAACTTCCTTTATAAGCAGAAATGCTTGTTTGCTTCCAAGCTATTCTTACGGCAGCACACCAATGCTTATCTTCCAACAGCCAATAATGACGACAATTGGCAAAATATTTGTATTTGTTTTCCTTATACTAATACCACTTCTCTTCTGTATTTTAATACACTAAAATATCACTTCTTTTTGACAAATTCACATAGAGTATGCAACACCAATAACTCCAATGAGTGATACTGCTGCTCATATCAGCAATACATATTCTTCTTATTAATATGGGTAATCACAAAATTTTAATACACAAATATATTCAGTGGAAAAGTTTTGAATACTTTGATAAAAACTAAAATACGAAGTAAAAAATATGGAAAAAGAAATACTTCATAGTTTCACAGGCATTTTCCTTAAACACAGAGGCTGTTCACACATTTTTTAGACGATGTATATTGTATTCACAAAACTAAACTGCATAAAATTCTTGTGTTTTTAATGTTCTATTTGACATCCCTTATTCTGAACTATCTTTCGACACTGCAATTTCCAGGATAATAATGCCTTTTGAAGTGGCAGAAGAGGTATTTTATCCCATTCCTCCCGAACAGCTTTCCAGAATCCTGTTAGGGTTTTGGGACAACGTTTGGATAATGCAGTTTTTAAAAGTCAGAAAGCACAAAAATTCATAGGTGACACATCGGGAGATTTAGCAGGGATATCAGTGAAGGGTATGGCCTTGATACCAGTTTTTTGTTCCATTTCTTTTAGGAAATTTACAGTGGATTTTGAAGTGTGACTGCTAGCTTTGTTCTGATGGAGTCTCACAGATTGATGGCACTGTGGGTAAAGCGATGGTATTTCATTCAGAAAAATTGGCGATAAAATATGGTCCTGATAGTATTTGGAGTTAAACCTTGACATTTTTTTGCACTCTCTTTATTTTTAACTTGCCATTATAAGAAAAACCAGCAACAATCATGAATCCCTTAGGAAAACTTTCTTTCGATTCTTTGAACCATGTACTTAAATTTTTGTCTCCCCTTTTATGATAATAAATGGCTCTTTTTTTGTTACAATCATTTAAATACACCCATGCTTCATCTATTGTGACAATTGTTTACCATTTTTCTTTGGATAAGTGTTTCTCATATAGAATTCTGCAGCGTGTCCTGCGTTGAGCGATATGCTTTGGAAGAAGACGATGCACATTGCGTTTTTTCGCTTTCTTAAGATTTAAATAAACTTTTATCATTTTGTTTGCAGTGGACACTAAGCATTTGAATGATTTTGCAACTGTCCTTTGACTAAAGGGATTTTCTTTTAACATTAAACAATGTACCTTTGCAATAGTCAAAGATGTCCGTTTTTTCCTTGGATACTTGTTTGGAATTTTTGTCCCACTTCAGGCTCCAATTTGACGTTTGTTTCCTTTCTTGTTGATGATATTAGTATCGACGCTTTAGATATCACAAAACCATGACTCTCACATCGTTTTGGGATAACGGAGTATGCATATTTCTCTTCGGAAAGAGCGTAAATGTAGCCTTCAAACCACTGCTTTGTTAAATTCGCCATTTTGAATAAAAACAAAACTTCAAGCCACAGATAATTTTGACTTTTAAAAACATAGTACAACTGCAATTACTTCTTTTGCAGCAAACGATTTTTTATTACCGCTTACCAAAATCGTCTAAAAAATGTGCGAACAGCCTCTGTAATAATCATTACAATGAAAACAATCTGCAAAAGTATTTTGAACACTAGGAAAAGGGGAACTTACATTTCGGTTTTTAAGGAAGTCTAATGCTATTTGTACATTTTGTAGTTGATGAAATCGCATTCTTCCTCTCTCTCTGGGCTATAAAAAGTTTAACATAAGAAATTATGATAAATAACATTTTGAAACAGCATTAAGAACATGAGATTCAAAAATGTATTATGTATATATATATATATATTTATTATGAATACTACTGATTCTGATTGCATCAATGTAGTAAAATGAAGTTTACCTGCGAAATGGTTAAGGACTTCGGGGATTAAACCCTAAAAGGAAATTTCGTGTTGAAAATGCGCATCTCACAAGCAAAATTTATTTGAACACTGCGCATAAAAAAAAAAAAAAAAAAAAAAAAAAGGGGGGGGCGGGACAGTTTTATACCTCCTATTCTACTGGGCCGATTGGCGAAATTCAAATTGCGTTTTTCATATCTCGAAAGCGAGATTTAGGATACCTATTAGATTTATATATAGCATTGTTCTAATATAGGTATTTTGACACAAAATCGGACTTTTTCTGAAATAACGTGCCAATTTTTTTCCGTATTTCGATTTTACTACTTAAATTATGCTAAACTGCCAAGTTTTGTAAAAATCTCACGAGTAGTTTTTAAAAAATTAGCACTCAAAATTTTATCTCCTCAATGTTAATTAAATTTGATATACATTTATTAAATCTCTCATTTTATTAGGCTTACTTGATTCCTTCTTCCAGAATTCGAAATTTATTTCATTCCAACTAAAATTCGCTCTTTTTTTATGATTTACTTTTACAATTTGTAATTTTAAATAATTTTTTTTAAATTTTTCGAAAAAATTTTCGAATTATAACCTATAAAATGTTTACCATCATCTTAAAGTAAGATATGTTTCTAAGCATATCTGGAAAAAATTATTTTTTTATTCAAAATTTCCTAGGATATATGTGAATTTACGTATTTGCGCGTTTTGAAATTTGGCATATTCGTTATAAGCGATAGATAATAACGCCGAATGTAGTTTACGCACTTATTAAAATTATTTGAAAGAATGAACGATAACCTTTTTTCCATTCGTTTCGCAATGGAAAAAAAAAAAAAAAAAAAAAGGGAAAATAGGTTGCTATAAATTAAGAAGTTCGCCAACTGAATTATTCTTGTCGCAAAGTGAAAAAAAATGCGCCAAGACAAAATTTTTGAATTTCTCCGTAAATTTCGCATTAAATTCGCAATTTTACAAAATTTAATATTTAGGCATAATTTCAATCATAGAATCGAAATATGGAAAAAACTGGTATGCCATTTTAAAGAAAGTCCTATTTTAGGTCAAAATAACTATATTAGAACAATGCTATATATAAAGCTAATATGTGCCCTAAGTCGCGCTTTCGACACATGAAAAATGCAGTTTGAATTTCGTCAATCGGCCCAGTAGAATGGGAGATATAGAACTGTCCCCCTTCTTCCTCCTGCAATGTACATATTGTATGTACTATACAGTGAGTTCTGGGATGAACTGATAATTTGTCTAAATATGGGACAGGTTTTTAGATCCTTATACTGCAAAGTGTAGCATCCTAAACACTCGGGGAGACACTAACATCTTAGTTATTTTGTAATATATGGTCATCCATGCCAAAGAGAATGGCAGATGCCATGTTGTTTATGCAACAATCATGACCCATATTTTCTGGAAAGGATTCATTATTGGTAACCAGACGGTTTCAACATAACATATCGAAATCAAAACAAGGAATGGAAATATCTAAGCAGGAAACTCAATACTATGTATCTGTAACAAAGTAACGATGGGTTTTGCCAGCAGACATACACAGCCAGATGTTAATTCTGAGATAAGAAAGAGATATTTTTGTCACTGTCCCGAATTGTGGAACAAAGTTAATGGAACTGCGTACTTTACAACGCTGAAACATTCATAAGCTGTCATCAGAAGTCATCATCCTAGGCTATGGTCAAAAATGATTTACGCTCACCATAGATGGTTACTTTGGTATGAGAGTTCTTTGAAGTATTTTCAATGGAAAACTTTGTACCATCGCAGTTTGCATGCCAAGTAATTTTTACTCTTCCAACTTTCAAGAAACATCTCAGTGTCTACAGATTTTTGCGCGATGCAAATGTTTAAACAATAGTAACATGGTGGTTTAACATCCCAGCTCCAGCATTTTACGAGCTACGTTTCAATGCCCATTACTATGTACAAAAAATTTCGCTGCTGAAGTAAAATTGAAAATTCCTTCTTGCAAGGCTGCACCTAACAATATACCTACAAATAAAATTCTGTACATTTTTGAGTTTAAATCTTAAAATAAATCTCTTAATGCTGTAAAAAGTGAGACAGAAACTCCCGCATTTTATCACAAGAATATGCCTCTGAAAAATTTTGATTTATTCATAACTAACGCGAAAAACAGATATTTATATAACTAACGATATTGAATAAATTATTCATACAGATATTTTCCATATGAAAGATAAAGTAAAATAATAAATAAATAAATATTACATTATTATTGTAAAGCAGAATTATTGCACTATTTTGGAAAAAAACTAACTGCAGAACTTTTCGAAATAACGAACGAAACTCACTACTAATTCACCAGAGAGCACTTCAAGTAGAGATATTAAGTTATGTCCATCTCTAAGATCTTCAAATAAGTCGTCTATATGTCGATTAACCTACAAATAAAACAAAATAAATAACAAAGCAACTCACTTGAAATTTCATAATTATTTGACAAATGTTTATTTACTTAAGAAACTAAATCTAGAATTTGAATAATAACGATACATTAATAATCATAAAAAAGAACAAATATGTAATAAAAAATTAATGCTTAAATCAATGGCAAACAATAAGGCTACAAGTTATGCTATGTAAGTTAAAAAAATAAAGTGTATGTACCAGCAATATTTAAAATCAAATTTTTCTTTTCATAAACTTTGATTTTTTGCATGCTTCATTCATCTTGAATGCATCCAACACATCCCTTTGTAACCAGTTACTTTAATACTTTCTTACGTACATACACGTATGCATTATGCGTGTGTGCGCCAATATATATGTACTACTTTCAAGTTAAAAAATGGCCTCATAAAGCTACCAACACATTTATGACATGCCACAATTCTAAAAGCGATCTGCAAGAGACATTTTCAGGAAGTATTTCGTAAAACCAATTTTCCCATTAAAAATTAAGCTAAAATCTACAGTTTTCACAAATCTTTTGAGATATTATAGGAACAAATGAACTCCGTAGCCTCATCTTTCGAATGGATCAAGTTCCATTCTACAAGGAACTTCTACTATTCACATCAATTCTTCATTAGTATGATAGGTCATTCTGCAGAAATTTGCTAGAATGTCATCAAATATAGGGCGGGCATAATTCAATGGAGCCGTAAAATTTGTTAAATAAGTTCGTCAAAGTTTCCGATCATTTACATCAATGACAATAAGCAATATTTCTTGTAGATAAACAATGGAGGCCACGGAGTAAGTTTTGAGTCTAGCATCTGATACAGTCTCGCAAGCGTTTTCATTATTCTGTGGATTTTCTGCACATAGATTCCAGACACCTTTTTTATACCCACACAATTCCATAGGCGTAGAAGTGCATACACACATATAAACACACACACTCAAAACTTTTAAAACAATGGGCAGAAAAATAATAATTCATTATTCGTGAGTTTACAGAAATTCATAAGCAGAAGGAAAAAAAAAAGAAATTCGAAGGCATCTTTAATATTTCACAATTATTTGAAGGTATGCCAAGCAAAAGAAATGAAAATTAAATAACTGTGTAAGTATTTAGCCCTGAACAGAATATATAAAACGATTGACTAAACATGAGAACACAGGAGATATACAAATTTCAGAAATTTTAAAGCAAAATGAGTAGCTTATGGGCTTAAAATAGTAAAGAACAACAGTAAAAAGCTTAAAATACTATAGACTAAGGGAATATGCATTAAAAATTAGCACTATCAACCAGGTCCATGAATTATATCAAAAACAATAAATAACATATCAATAATAACAATATTTAAAAAACAGCATGTAGAAAATATAAATTTTATTTAGTTTCTGACTAATTCATTTATTTTATAAGTATGTGCTTGATAAAAAATAACATTTTTAGATATGCTTGTCTTCATCTATTTTCCATAACTAATCCCAATTACCCCTGCCACTTTTTTTTTTTTTTTTTTTTTTTTCTCTCTTCTCTTCTCCCATCTCAACTGCCAAAAAATATTAGATTCTCCATAAATTTACCCTCTAATATTTAATAACATTAAAATGCGGAAAAAATCACATCATTAATGCTTGGTGGAAGATATTCAACAAGGTTATTTAAGTAATATGACTCAATTTTTTTTATCATTTTAAAAATAGTTTGACTGCAATTCATTAAATTTTCTGGGGTGTTGTATGTTGGATTTTAACTTTTGCTTCTTAAAGATATTCTTGATTGATTTTGAATTTGGGGATTTAACTGGCCAGTTCATGTGTGCTTAAGGTTATCCATAATGGTTCTAGCTCTATGAATTTAATTTACCGGGATTTTTCATCCTGGTAAATTAAATATGCTAATTTACGATAATCTTGAAAAAAAAAACTGCGCAATTATCCTAAAGTATTATAGACTTCCTTCCTTTGGTAATAATAGTTTGAATACACTCGAGTTTGAATGCTTCTTAGATCTTTTGTTGACCCTACGTCTTCCATCATTTTGAGGCTACTGACTAAAGACCGATAATAGATGCCAGATGCTTGGAATATAACACCTTAAAATAGTCAAGAGAATTATTCTGTCTTGTGTGATAATGTTAAATGTTCATTACGAATATCTGAATTTTGGCAAGAAACCAAACTTCTGAATATAATGGAGTTAAGCTGCACTAAAAGATCATAGCATGCAATAAGCCAAAATAATAACAGATCATAACATGCAAGCGAAAGTACATGACAATCTGATGCACGACTATACAAGAAAGAATTACACAGTTAAAAATAGGAATAAAATTAAATACAGTACAAAACCAGTACAACAGTCTCCATCAATGAACCTGCTTCCAGAGTTAGTAACCCAACACACAGGACAAGAGACTAATTTTTCTCAAAGAGCACAACCACAAATTTAATGATTTAACAACCTGCACACAAGACACTAAAGCTGAGTCACAAAAGATTTAAAAAAAAAAAAAAAAAAAAAAAAAAAAAAAAAAAAAAAAATTGGAGCTACCCATTATGATTTAAATATTCCTGCGGATAACTGCCTATTCCCAGTTCCCTATGTCTACTGCATGTTATAGAAGGATGAAATATGTTGGATGTGAATGTTACAGAAGGATGATAGCTGCTCAGATTAACGATTTCTGAACTCCTCCAGTTTACAGCACACAAAACGGCATTAATTTTACAAAAACACTAACTGATATTTTAGGACAGATTTTTATCGTTTAACAAGTAAATATATTGAGAATATTTATTTTTTCTCATTGTGGTACGCATGTCAAATGTATGTACAGTTACTATTTTAAATGAGTGAAAAATATATCAGATTTTTTTTCAATAATCAAAGACTAAAAGTACAAGATAGAACTGCAGCATATGAAAGTGTAGACATGAAACAAGCATTTATTATAAAAAGAAATAACACATAACGAGCATATTATTTTCAAGTATAATATTAACATAAGCAGACCCCACATAAATGCTATTTAGGGCATTTACTACCTTCTCGGATCAAAAATTAAAATCATAAAATTTAAGTTAGAACATTTGAATCTTATTTCTACATACTGAAAAATATTGTTTAATCATGAACCTGGTTAATAAGAAAGTTAATGAAGTTTAGAAAACCAGCTAAGCATGCAGATGAAACTTACACCAGGGGTACAACAAGCTCGACAGGAATAGCAGACATGTAAGCATGTATAAGTCTGGAAGAAATAAAATGTTAGTTACTTAAGCAGTGGCAGTGTTAAAAAAAATAGGAACAAGGAATAAGGAGTTCCTAGAAAACAGCTCATATAAAGTATCTAAGAAACAATTAAAAGGCTGAAATTAATTTATTATAATACCACTTGTATGCAAATATCATTGAATAGGGGGAAAAAAAAAATCTTACAAAGTTTAACTCTTTTACGCTGATTGTCATTGTCACAAATTAGAAAGCAAACAATATCGTTGACAGCAATATACGAATAGACCAATGCATATGTAATTGCAATGCACAATAATTACTTTATTAAAGCTTCAAATTTAATAGAAATTCTTTCAAGTTTAAAAGGACATAAACATCCGAAACCCTAATTTATATCAAATGATGATTTTATTTTAAGCTTTTTTTTTTTTTTTACAGTAAATTGATATCTAATATCCTCTTCACTTGCCAGATTTTTTTGCAGATAGCCTTCAGATTATTGTTACCATATGAGAACGGGGGAACTAATGCCATATGTACATTTTATTTAAATGTAAACTTACATTGAACTTCATTAAAATTAATTTTTTTACCATACACATTATAGCAATAAAGGCTTTTAAAATAGTATTAGCATTCAGAAAGGTCTTGTTCCATACATTTATGGTAGGCACAGAATATATAATTTTCAAACCATCCCAGTTCTAATTATAGGAATATAACGTGGATCAATAGACAGATTTAAAGTTATTAGAAGATGGCATGATAAAATGTGCTTTTTTTTAACTTCTGATGTTCATTTTTTATCTGTCTGTAATCATAACATTTTTCTTAAACTTCTGAAGGGTAGAAAGGGAGTGAGAGAGAGAAAGACAGAAAAGAAATTACATTAATAATAGCTGGAAAACTTAATGGAATTTAATTTTAAATTAAGAAGGATTAATTGCTTTGAATTCTATTTCCTTTCCACATGGAAAATTAAGCACTTAGCATAAAAATTTGAACTTTATGGCAGAAAATTTCAACAATTTTTAATCATAAATTACAGCCAAAATTTAAATTATAAGAAAACAGAAGAAAGAAATATAAATTAACTTCCCAGAAAACTGTAAAGGCCACCCAAATTTGTTACAATTACATGAAGATTAAAATTACGTGCGCAAGCAAATTAAGCTACGTTTCAGTTTTAGTTAAACATAATTTTCTCTGAAGCAATTTTATTTTCTACTCATCTTTTATTTTTTACGAAATTCTTTTCATTTTTATAAATATTACTTAAAAGAAAACAATAAAGATAAATTAAAAGAAACTGAAGCAGCAAGTAACTGTGTCAAATAACTGACAGAAAAATTGTCAGTTCCAAGCGACAGCAGTCAGATAAATCTTTTTGAAGATTGAAATTGCAGTAGCTGAATTTTTTTCTTTTAGTACACAGTAAAATTATGCATATTCTTTCACGGGATCCCACTCCCCTTCAAGAAAATTTTTGATAGCTATTTGAGTAGCCCTCATAGGAAAATATTATTCGCATAAGTTTCGGTAGTGCTGCCATCTAGTGTGTAAGGTTTCGAATATTAGCTAAAGTACGCTTTAGTAAAAAAATGTGCTGCAATACAAATGTGTTATCCTATCAGGCGTTACAAAAATAAATTATATGGCTAAAAAGCATCGAAAACTTTCGATCTAAGACTGCAATCGCAGTTATCTCAAAAAGAATAATTAGCTGATTTTTTTTTTTTTTTAATGTGCACAACTGATTGAAAGAATTTCAAATTAAATCTAAATAGAATATTTATTACAACTACACATTCGCAAATCATCCAAAATTTTAAAGAGAAAAATCTTATAATATCACTAAATATTTCAGGATTAGACCTTAATTACTGATTAAAAAAATACACTATTCACACCCGAAAGAACATAAACAAAGTAAGAAATGGAATAATTTGATAGTTACCTCCTACCCTCCATTCCTTCACTTGAATAACACACAGAACATCTAAGATAGAGCCCATACTATATATGACACTGCACCGGGGGACGGATTTAACAGTGGCAAAGTTTTCAGAATTTAGGAAGGCACTATGCGGCATAATTTATAAGCCACAGCTATTGCACCGAGGGGGGGGGGCAAAATTCTAACGCCGATCTTGATGGAGGATATTTTGAGGACTGTTTGCTTAATATTTAGCTCTTAATATTTCTGGGTCTAGCTATAACACGATTTGATATGAAGATCATTTAATTGCATTTAAATCTTGATCTCATTTCCTCATGTTTAGTAACAATAACTGACAGTTAACAGAAATCTGATAAAATTACAATCAACATACTACTAGATTCTTTTTTAAATAAAAATACTATTCATGCAAAAAATACATGCAAAAGAAGCGATTATCACCAACCTCTAGGTACCTCCAGTGCTGTAATATCCGAGATGGAAATGAAAAGAGAAAAAAAAAATTATCAGATTTGTAAATTAAATTATTTAAAAAATTACACAATACTGACAAAAAGTAAAAAAATATCACAACTGAAAATTTTCAAAAAACAATTCAAAACTTACACAATATAATTAGCGTCTATTTAATACAAAAGATTGCAATAAAATATTGCATCAGGGCATACATAAAGTAACACGTCTTAAATTTGTAATGTAATTGATAAGCTCCAGGTAATTATGAGGAATTTAAATTATATTTACGACTAGTATCAATAAAGCAAACAGTTTTTCTCTCACACAGACTGAAAATTAAGCTTTCCATAGATGTTAGAAATAACACTGTTAATTCACAAACCCTATATAAGAAACGATTATACACTTTTAAGAGAAAAGCTCCAGTTCTATAACTTCATGATTCACAATTCATTTTTAAGGCAATGGAGAGTTCAGAAATAAAGTACATTTCTGGTGCAATTTCCTTTCAAAACTTCAAATTTAAAGCAGTCAGCGGAACACTTATAAAAAAAAAAAAAAAAAAAAAAAAATCTGACAGAGATATGAATAAATTAAATTTAAAATGCCGTATAAAACATTTTACAGTTTTTTGATAAGCAAAATCACCGGCTCATAAAGTCAATGATTTTCAAACCGTATTCCACGGAACACTATGTGTCCATGCAGGGAGTTCCGCAAGTCAAAATCAAACTTTGAAATAATTTTAAAATATTACGTGAGCCGCAAAGCTAAACATTCATAATAATTGAATCATTTTCCCCTGCCCACTTCTGTTGCTATTATCACCCTAAACTAATACGAAGTCGATCTGTTTTTATGAGTAAAATCACAATAAATACGATTTTCATTTCACTTCCTACATAAAGAGTACGCAACATTAATACATTTTCAATGCTTTTTTAACATTTATTTTTCTGACAGCGATAGAGATTAACTTAATAATGATAATAACATATTAGTTTTATTGGTCACTTAAATTCACAAAGTTTGAAGACCACAGATATAAGTTAATATAAAAACAGAGATAATTACAGTGCATAACGTAAAAATCTCATCACAAGAAAGAAAATTAAATTAACCATTAATGAATTCAAAACAGAGTGTTAACAGATTTTTTTTAGCAACACCACCAGATTTTAAATTCTTGAATATGTGTTTAAGACCAAAGGGGCAATTTGCTCTGAAGGACTATTATTTTCGTTTTGGCATTTTGCGTCGGATTACCATAAACGGCGTATCACTTTTCAAATTGTTGCCACCAAATATTAGAGCCCTGCATTATTTTTAAAGAAGTTAAATAACGAAGAATCTGCATATGAATGTACGTATGGTTTCTAGCGTTGTAAAAAACCAACGGTAGGTAAAGACATGAAATTTTGAATAACGTACTCCTCCATTCGAATATGGGCATCTGGAAGCTCAAATTTGAAATTTGGAATTTGTTTTATTATCTATTTCATATTTTGTAAAACTTGAAGGAATTTTTGATTAACAAACACAACGATTTAAAAGAGAGGAATGGCTACACTCTAAGAGAGGGGGAGGAACTTTTTATCTCCAGTGCGCGGAACTCTGTGTATCGGAAATTCTTATGATATGCTCCTTTTAAAATTATATTTTGCAATATTGCTGTTGAACTGAATTTTATGGTTTAAGTGCGAAGAACGTGATACTTAATAAATAAAGGTAACACACAAAACGTTAAAAAAACGTAATTGGACATAATTTAAAATCTGAAAACTTTAATTTTTTTAATGATTTCTGTTTTTTGAATTTTATGATTTCTGCCTTTTTTATTTGTTCCCTCATAATTACAATACTAAAGTTAACACTTACAATACAATTAAAATGTTGATACTTAGCATTTATTAAATAAGTCTGTTAGCAGAAGGACGGCAGAATGCTGAAAATGCAAACCTAAAAAATCTCTTTCGATACTAAATTTTTCTTTGCACAGTATCTTCCCTTTACAACGATCCGTAATCCCCAACAACTAGAAGATGGAGAGATAAAAATATAAATTGTTTAATTTATGTGCAGCGTAAAAATGAGATGCAGAGGAAAGCTATTATTTGTTTCGCGTCGGCGTTCCTCTGCGCAGCAAAGCAGCACATCATCAGCTGTGTATGTGGTATGGTATCGGTTAATGCCGAATGTAAATAAAGCAGGTACGGCTGAATTCCGTGATAATGAAGAAGAGTAGGAGTTGGAGAAAGTTAAAAATAGTTCTAAACTGATCCAGGGAGATAAAAGATGTCAGGGAGGAGGGAGACGAAAGTATTTTGCTTCGGTTGCCTAGTGGACTGTGGAGGTCGTGTTGAAATGAGCGATTTACGAAATGAAGGCATCCGCCGCATATGTTGTGAAAAGCAATGAAGTGGCTATTGTCTGCTACTCAAGGCCAGCGCTTCCGGTCCTCTTTTAATGGACAACAGCCCTGTTCCGCTGCCTCCCACTCACTCAAGGTGACACTTGTTTAAAAGACACAAATCAAAATTATTTAATAGCAGGTTATCCCCCCCCTTTCTTTATATATCACCTTCTTCTGACAGCATATTTTAAGGAGTATTGCGCAACAAGATTTGTGTCTGACTTAGTTTTTTCCTTCCACCTCCTCTTCTTTATTTTGAAAAGAAAAAGAGGCGTCCAGTTTCACGAAGGTGAATGCATAAATTTAAAAATCACTTTGCTTACAACAAACGTTTCCCATTCGTAAACCTTGGGACATTCGAATTGGTTCCAGTCCCAGAGACGCAAAAAAATACTGTACAGCATATGCCTAAATTTATCTTTAGCCGTGATGGCTGACTTTCGTAAAACCGTTTTATCATACATATTAAGCAGATTTAAAATTACCAAAATTATAACCGGATTTGAAACTAGATTCAACTTTAAAATGGCATTAACTGAATCACAATTTAAACAAATAAATACTTTTTCACGATAAAAAATGAGCAGTTATGATTGATTATCGGAACTTCCACTATTATAAAGTTTCTCTGACATACTAGGAAAACATAGTTCAAGTTAGAAATTATTTTTATTAATAATAGCAATACTGTCAGTATTACTTCTATAATGTGCATTTCATCATTCCGTCCGCAATGCTTCCAAGTGCATCAGTTTTCAAAACAGCAAGCCTGACCATTACCGCAATCATGACCCTGATCATCATTTTTATACCTTTCCCTTGAAGCAGTTCGCTGAATATTACAGAGTTGATGTTATTAATTATCTTTACTTTCTAATGAAATAATACTACAAAAGTAGTCATGAAAACGTACTGTTTTCAATATATAATTATCTTAACTGCCTCGTATTGCGTCAAGTTTCTAATAAAATGCTTTCTTTGTCCGACATGTATTCATCAATAATCGATCCCAGGTGGTTACCACATTCCCGGTTATTCGCGTTATTCGATATTACCACACCATTCAGTCCCATTTGCACCAAATAATGAAGGCTCTGCTATTATTTAAAATAAAGAGGAAAATTACACATCAGGCATAATTATTTACACTATTAAAGCTGCTCACGCTAATTTAATGCTGTGTTTATGGATAAGAAGTTAACGTTCAAGGGAAAAAAGGAAAACTGAAAAATTTCTGAGTAGGGATTATTTCCGCGTGATATACATAGGAACTAGGCAAACCACATAAGTTTTACAAAAAAAAAAAAAGAAACCACTCCTTTTTTGCTGTACATTTACAGGGTACTCAGAGTGTCAAAATTCGCGAGTTCTAAAGTATGAACAGGCAATCTATTTTCGCAACCAAATGCCAGAAAGCTAACCTCTAACCTCGTAAGGGGGAAAATTTTATGCACAACGCTTAATTGTTCATCAAATATTAAATATACGGCTTTATTTGTTTCATGTATGAGTTAAGCTGCCGTTAAAATTTGCGCATGAACTAAAAGTGGCTCTCAAATTGCATCGGAATTCTTCTATAGCTACGCCTTCACATGATACAGTTTGAAATCTAATACAAAGCTTCAGTTTCTTGCAAGATCCGTTGCCCCGAATTTTGTACCTTAAACAAGATATTAACGAATTTAGAATGAATGAATTTTCAGCTTTTTTAACACTAGAATAAATGTTATAACAAAGCTAAAAGATCACGTTCAAAATTTGCAGTATGGATTATAAGTTAATTCGCACGCTATTTAAAATTTGACAGATACACAAAAATCAGTTCCACTACTGCGAATGAATTAATTTAGAATGAATTACAAAGAAATATTTCTAAAAAGAATAAAAGCTGCAAATTAGAATACTTAAATATAATCTCAATAAACTGACTGTACCGATCACAAACATTTTGCGCCTTACAAAATTTCATACAGCTGATTACAAAGATCATATATAAAAAGAAGAAGCTAAGTCATCAGAAAGAGTAGCTAAATTCTCCTGGTGAATTATGAATTCGTAAAGGAAAAATACCAATAGGAGAATGAAAAATATTATTTAGAAGTAATTTACGTGCGTAAGTGGAGCTAGTCCCAGTGTCTCCAAACGACTTTATAAAATATAATGAAATTACGGTGAATTTCATGCATTTATCATTTACGTATGCAAAGAGACTCCTGTCTCTTATCTTCAAGGTAAGAGACAGAATTTTAATGCAATTTTGCAAACAATTGACAAATAACTTCTTCATATATTTAACAAAGATCCGATTATCAAATACTAAATTATTTCGAGTTTTAAATTCCTAAACAAAAGGATAAAAGGCCAAAGTAATCAGAAAAACTATTTTTCGTGTATCACTAATATCAAAGTGAAGTGGATATTTGCATTCTTAAAAATATGCTGTTGAATCAGAATAATAGAAGATAGCCTAGAAAAAGGAACAGAAAGTAACTCTGACCTTGGAGAACCCTCTGTTGAATTAAAAACAAATAAATGAAATAACTTCTTCGAATGTAAAGTGGGAAAACAGTTAGGAAAAGAAAGGCATGATTAGG